AGAATATGAATTTTAAAATGAAAATAAAAAAATAAAAAAAAGTATTAACCAGTTAAGTTAGTTAATTTATAGGTTGGTTGTTTTAACCGCATTCAAACTAACCCGACTTTTCAATGGTTAAAATTACTTGAACCAAACCGATTTGTTGGTTCAAACCGATCCTACTGGGTTTGATTGGTCGGTTTAATCGGTTTTTCGATTTTTTTTTTTTTCCAGCCTCTTTATCTCCATTTTTATGTACAAATATCACTATTAGTAATATGTTAGCGAATTCTGAGAAATTTATTTGATACCTAGAAAGTTAATAAGACAGTTTCTTCAAGTTATTGTACCTGATTATATTTTTTATGTTGTAAATGCTAGAATATGTGTGTGTGTGTGTGTGTTTGTGTGTCAATGACCATAATAAGGTCTTCTACTCGTATTATACATTTCTAATAAAATGGTAATGGGATCTAACTGGCCAAGAATCGGGTCAAGCAATTTGAAGTAAGCATATCAGTTTTAATTGAATTTAATTACTTGCATTGGATTTCTTGATATTATACCTTGTGGAAATTACAATCAATCGGATTTTTTAAGTTTCAACATCAACATTTAGATTTAAAGTATTTTTATACAAAAATCAAATGATAATATAAACATTAAATATTAGTAAATTTACAAACTCACCCCCGACCAAAATACTCACCCCACCCAATTTAAATTAATCTACACACCCATCCCATCTCATCCACCCAAACCCTAAATCATTTACCATTTTATTCTTTCTACCATTTCTCCTCTCTCTTCTATATCCTACCTATTCTCGGGCAACACATCAACTCTGGCGACATGGCATATCCAGTAATACAATGAGACGTCGCTCGTAGAGACATTTTACTTGTCGTGTCATGCCTCTGCGCGCAGCGTTGGGGCGTGGCACCAGAGGCGTAGCCACCGCGTCTCGTAGCTGTAGCGTCGTGTTGCGCCTCTGTGCATGGATGCGCATCGCTCGAGAAGAGCATCTCTGCTGGCAGAGTTGAGGCATGATGCAGTGGTTTTGGGTTCTCTTGATTTGCATTTGCCTGGCGTCTGTGGTGGGGTCACAATTGTGGTTTACGATGGCGTTGCATTTCCTTGGATTTTGAACTTTTCTCCGGCGATTTGCTGTGGTTTTTTGTTGTGATTTTATGACATGTTTTCTATTGGTTTTTGAGGTGGTGGTAGTGTGTGGCGGTGGTGATGGGGACGTGTTTATGGATTTTTTGGTACGGGTGGTGGTTGTGGTACAGTGTAGATGGAGATAGAGGAGATGGTGGTGGTGCTAGCCGTGGTGACGATGGCAATGGCGGTTATTGTGGATATGTTGTGGTGTTGGTGTTGACGATGGTAGCGTAAGTGGTGGTTTTGGTGGTGGTGGTGCTGCAGGGTTTGGGTTGGGTTGTGTTATGTTATGTTGGGAGTGATTGTGACTAATTATTTAGGTGTTGTGATCAATAAATTGTTAATTTGTGACCAATTATTAATATGTGATCTAGAAAAATGTGTAAATGTGATTCAGAATTTGGTAAATTGTGATCAATTAATTTGATAATTTGTAAGTTGTAATCTATAAAATTGTGATTTGTAATCGATAAATAAATTGTGACCTATAATATTTTTTATATTTGTAACCAAAATATAATTTGTAACTGATTAATTTGATAACTTCTGACCAAGTTATAAGAATCCATATCTTAATATATTTAATTAATAAAAAATATATTTAATTAATTATTTTCTAAACAAAATTTAATAATATTCGATTTTTGAAGTTTTAAACTTTGTTTCTTAATTTGGAAATGAGTCATAATTAATCTGTTAGTTATTAAATTTTCTCTTTTAACTTTGAAGGGACCTGATTAGACCCATTAAGCAAAGGTCCATTATATTGATATGATCAACTCTTGATGGGTCAAGAGAGATTGCACTCTTAGTCTAATTGAAAAGTTATTGAAGATGTGTGTAAGCAACAATTATATCCTCTAACTTATAGTTTGTACATACCCGTCGACCATTTTGAATATTCGAAACAAGGTTAAAATGATCGAAACAATGAAACAATCTTTTTCAGATATCCAATTTCATTATGATAGTATTATATTTCGAAATATCGTTGGATACTAACACATTCACTAAATTTCACAAGTTCTATCAAACTAGATGAAACGGTATTCCTTTGTGTTTCGATAGTATCATATTCGAGAATATCCAGTTACACAATAACAATCCAAACACTCTGGTTTTTGGTTTTTAGGTTTTGTTACATCTCGCTTGATGAGGCTCCAAAAGAGGTCCACACGACAACTAATTAGAAACCTAAAAAGGTCCACACTCGACGTCCTCACCATGATCGAACCGAAGTCATACGGTAAGGACGGTGAAGTGGTAAACCACCTCATTAATCATCGGGGACTTCTAAGAGCATCTCTGACCCACTTCATGGATTGAATTTAGGTGGCATTTATATAGAAAGATTTTTAATTTACCTAGTATTAATATCTAATGAACAGATAGTCATTTCAATTTTCATCTCCAATGGATTTCGTCTATAGAAAAATGACCTATATAAACTAAGCAC